AGATATTTTATTAAGATTCTATTTTAAATGATAAAGAAAATTAGGATAAATTACTAATTTTAAAGACTAGTAATAGTAATAAAATTTCTAAAGTATTAAATATTTCTATACTTGATCAAAAGATTACAAAAAATATTAAAAGAAATGTAATATTCTATGTATAAAAGACATTATTTAAAGGATTATTACAGAAATGGTTAGTTAATCTAATTTATACTTGTATTTTAACTTTTTAGTTAATTTTTAAATAATATTTAGTTTAATGATTTTGTAATACTTAAAGAACTACTAATATATTTTTCATTGCATATTCATCAAAAAATAAATTTCAGCCTTAATATATTTTATTAGAACCCCGCTTACTTATAAAATAGGTCACCCCTAGGGATGGCAACGGTCGGCCACAATCAGTTATCAGTCGTTCATAACCGGTTAAGGGCCTTTGACCGACTGACTGTTTTGGCTGACCATTTTTCTGACTGTTTAACTGACCATTTAATCTACCATTTAACCAATCACTTTTTAACATTTTTTTCTTGATTAAAATTTGTTAAAAAAAAGAAAGTGTAATTTAATCAAAAAAAAATGCTATTTAGCTTTTTTTATTGATTAAGTTCGTAAAAAAAGGCTAAATAATTAAAAAATGGCTAAATAATCAGTTAAACAGTCGGTTAAACAGTTGGTCAGAAGCCTTTAACCAACTGATATCAGTCACGGTCATAACCGGTCATGACCGTTTAATAACCGTGACTGTTGCCATCAGGCTTAAGATAAAAATCATATATAAAATTCTTTGCAGATCTTACTATTAAGGTTGCTTGTTTAAACCTCTTCAAAATCCTACTTTTAGTTTCGTCAAAATTTTACTATAGATTTATTATAGTTTCGGCAGAGTTTCAGCAGTTTTGGCATTTATAATAAGTTTCAGCAGTTTCGCCTTTCTCCAAAGTTTTGCCAGTTTTTTAATATAACTTTAATATAGTTTCAGCAGAATTTCGCTTTTCGGCGAACTATAAAAGGAAATTTTATATTATATTGTTATGATTTTTTTTCTTTTTAGCTAATTAACCAATAGAATTTAAAAAAAAAGTAAAGTAAAAACTATTAGTAAAGGGCCAATTTTCTACAGTGATCTTTATTATAAGTAAGCACAGTCTTATTTTATTACAAAATTTTCTAATGATTTACAAAATCTAATAGAAATAGTTAATCCTTTTTTTTATAATTTTTTTTCAAAATATCATTTATTTTTTATTATCATAATTACAATCATCTTCTTTAACATCTTATAATTTTACTTTATTTTAATTATTATTAATACAATTTAATAGTTAAATTTTTATAACAATTAAATAAAATAAATAAAATAGAAAAACAGAGAATTACTATTTCAAATTTTTAAAAGGATTTGAAAAACAACAAATTAAGATTAAATATAAATTAAATGATAAATAATTTGAAGCTTGTGGAATACTGGAATAACAACAATTAGAGATATTGAAATATTTAATTGCCAGTTTATTACTAGTGCTTTAAGTTAATCCACAAGTTGGTCGAATCAAATTGAATCAAATTGAATCAAATTGAAAATTACAATTAATCACAGATCAAAAAGTGAAAAATCAGGTATCAATCAGTTACCAATTGGTCACCAATTAGGTAGCTGATTGGTAACTAATTGGCATTTTCATTAAATATCATCACCAATCAGGCAGTTTGTTAACTTTTGATCCAGTAATCAGAAAAAGATGAAATATAGCTCATTGGAATTGTCTTAACAAGACAAATCTAATGGTAATAAAATCGCATTTCTAGGATTAATACTTAATGAGAAATTAATAAGTAAAATATAAAAATAAAAATATATCATTGATATTTTATTTGATTTTTATTAATTATTAATCCTAAAAATATGATTTTACTACTATTAGATTCATTTTATTAAAATGATTTCAATGAGCTATATTTCATTCTTTTCTGATTACTGGATCAAAAGTTAGCAAACTGCCTGATTAGTGATAGTATTTGGCAAAAATACTGATTGGTAACTGATTGATGTCTGATTTTTTACTTTTCGACCTGTATAAATCAAATCAAGTCAAATCAAGTTAATAATTTAATAAAATCAAGTTGAGTCGAATCAAAAAATCTCTAATAAAATTTTCTGTAAAAAAATACTTTTACCTATTAAAAAATTTTCAAAAGAAATTCTTTATTAAGGAAAACTCTCTTCTATTAAAAAAAAAATTCTTAATGAAATTCTTTGTCAAAAAAAATCCTATTTGTTAAAAAATTTTCTAATAAAATTATTTATCAAAAAAATCTTTCCTATTAAAAAAATTCAAAAATTCTTCAAAGAATTTTTTATCAAAAAAAAAAATCTTTCCTGTTAAAAAAAATTATTCTAATAAATTAACTATATGTTAAAATAAAATCTTATTAAAAAAAATTTTCCAATGAAATTTCTATTAAATAAATTCTTTAACGAAATAATTATCTATCAAAAAAAACTCAGAAATGCCTCTATTAATAAAAAAATTCACTAACAAAATTTTTTTATTAAAAAAATTTTCAAAGAAATTCTATCAAAAAAAAGCCTTTACCTATATTAAAATAAAAATTCTTTAATTGTTTTATAAAAAAAAAAGCTAATAAAAAAAAAATTTTTTTAAAACTATGTTAAATTTAAAAAATGTAATTAATGAAATATTAACCTTATATTGGCAAAGAAACCAATTTTTGATAAAGATAAAATTATCGAGCATAGTTAAGGTTGCTTGTCTAAACCTCTTCAAAATCCTACGATTAGTTTCGTCAAAATTTTACTATAGATTTATTATAGTTTCGGCAGAGTTTCGGCAGTTTCGGCATTTATAATAAGTTTCGGCAGTTTCACCTTTCTCCAAAGTTTCGCCAGTTTTTTAATATAACTTTAATATAGTTTTGGCAGAATTTCGCTTTTCGGTGAAATGCCATCTTGCCTAAACCCCTAGGTTTCGGCAAGCAACCTTAAGCATAGTTGAACTAAATTAAATACAGTTAAACGAAAATATAAAGCATAACGGATAAAAATGTCAAGTATGGTCAAATAAAAATATTAAGTAATAATAGATATGTAAACGAGAAATAATTAGCTAAATTTTCTCAAAATAGATAAATGAAATTTCAAAGATAGTGGATTTAAGAATGGTTATAGTACTTACCAATTTTACTAAAAAGTGTAAAGAGAAAAGCTAAGGTCATTTTCCTCATACAAGATAGACTAAAACCTTAGAGAAGATATTGGACAAATATAAAGTCAGTGGTAATAATATATAACATGTATTTTCCATTCAATTACATCTGACAAAACAGATAAAATAAATGTTAACAATGAAGAATTCAAGTATTGTATTAATGAGATAAAATGTAACTTAGGTCTAATAATAAAAAAAAATGGGTGTCCTTAATGTACAGTGGATGTGTACAATTTTAACGTAAAAAATGGCCTGAGTTTAGGAGTTATGTACTTGCACATGATAGTGTTAACATTAATTCTAGCCAGTTTGTACGTTAATATCGTATAAACTGTACATTAAAGAATTCTGGAAAAAATAAGGCTGTACATTATTCTTATATTAAGAAAATATTATATGCATCTATATTTATTACCAAAAGATTTACCAAAAAAACAAAAAAATGATCATCTTAAACTCTTAATTTAAGGTTAAAAATGGAAAAGTAATGGGTTATTATATAGTAGCTGTGTTGATTTTGCTATCAAGAAAATCACAGGTAATGTGAATGAGAAGCTGATAACTATAATTGAAGATAAACAAAAGAATTTGGTGATTTATGCAAAAGTAATGCAACTTAAAAATTCTTATTATATGAATACAAAAAAAAGAAAAGCATCTAAAGTTTTTGATAATAAGTTTGATTATTTATATAGAATTGTTACTACAGGTATAATATTTTCTTGAGACTTTTCTGAACTACTTTTTATACTTTTCTTTATCTTAGTTTTGGATTGGTCCTTCCTTTTGTATACATCAAAAAGGATCATTGCATAAAAGTCAACTATTACATCACCCTCACTGAAGATGTTTTGAATGATGATAAAGAACAAAGAACTTTTATCAAGGTGTAAAGAAAGGTACAGAAGTAATTGTAAGTTCGTTAAAAGATAGAGTGGAAGTTGGTGACTTTCCTGATATTAAGAAAATCATCATACATCAATTCTGAATCTTTTGTATTTATTTTGTATGTATAAATAAAAATTTTTTTCTTAGCAAAAGTGATCATGTAATATGCATGTGATTTTATTACTTATTTAAAAAAATCATCTGAAACTTAGATAAAACAGATAAAACTAATTTGTTATATATATTAATTATTTTTTTAACATTTAGGGTTTGTAAATGATATATTTTATTTAAGTTAATATCTAAAGCTAAAATATAAAATTTATAAAAGTTAAAGAATTTATAATAAAATATTATAGCTTAAGCAATCTATTATAAATTAAGAAATGTTTCATCTGAAAATCAGATTGTAATATCATTGATTAAATAACAAAATATATTGAATTGATAGTGAAGTAGATGGAGATTACTGCATGATTATCTTAACTCTGATTCTAATTCCTGAATTCCAAGATGTGTCTTTATAAGTTTTAATATATTAGATATATAATCTAATTTGTAAAACATTTTACTAATTTCCTTTTTCATTTGTGAATTTTTCATACTTAATAATCAAAAAGTTTCAAGTTCCTGGCAATTCTTTAAGTTATAATTAGTTGGATTATTAATTTTACCTTACATTGCTAGAAATTTCTCTTCCATTTTTTTTACTAATCTAATCTTAAAATGAAGGTGTAAATGACCATGACAATTAATGGTGTAATTATCTACAGATTTTTTTGATTTTCATTTGCCAAAATTTAGTGCAAAACAGTCTACAGAATACTCATTTAGTTAAAATTTTTTAAAAAATTTATTAACTATGTTATCAAATACCTGTAGTCAAAATGATTTAGATTTGACAAGCTCTTTATTTGTTTATGTTTGAGGGGAAAAATGAGTATCTCTCGAACATTTTATTGTCTTAAGGTTAAAATCCACTTATCATCACCCATTTTGTATTTATCATAAAACACATGGTCATGAAATGGTGCTATTCATTTATTTCCAATATACCAATTGCATGGAATATTGGAATGATGTTTCTGTGCAGATATTACATTACAGTAAATTTGCAAAGTGATATAAAAATATGTGCAATTCTTTTTACCTGAGAAAAAAATTTTGGTTAGTATTCAAGATCTTACTCAAAATGTAGTTATTACTTAAGTACTCACTTGCAATGCACTCTGCATGATAAGGGCAATATTATTTTGTAAATATAGATTCATAGTCAGAGATTTTAGTACATAGTGGATAATAAGAAATTCTTACATTATCAACATAATTTTGTGCTTTATCAAGTCTTTCCTCTTTAGTATATTCATTTATTAATGTGTCAAACCAAACTATAGAATCAATATATATATATATATAAATTCCATTCAAACTTGTTAGGATGCAATTCAATTTGATATTTTTTTCTAAAAGTACTATTTTTTTCAATGGAATCCAAATATTTCTCTTCTAAATAAGATATAATTGTGTCTGCCATATTTTGTTCAACTTCAAAATCTTCTAATATTTTATATTTCTACAAAAATTTGTAAGGATTCTTCCAATCAAAAGTAATATCCTTGTAAATTATATTTGGACTGTTCATATGGGCTAATTTGTCTACCTTTAATTAAAATATTGATTTTTTTACATTTTTATTATACAAAATACTATATAATATACAGTAAATTGAGGGTAAGTATTAAACAATTTTATTTAATGTTATTATACTATAATTTGGTAAATATTTCTTTTAAATTAATATAATTCTTAGCACTTACTATATATGTTAAAAATTTGTATCTCAACTTTAAACGTAAATATCTCCAGATCCAATGATCCAATCGGCAAGCTCTTTTTTCGCTCATATAGACCAGATCAAGGGCTTTCCAAAGAGTCTAAATTTATAAAAAATGAATCAGTGGATTCCAAGATATTTGCATTTAAGCATGTTAAAAAGTTCATACCTCAACTTTAAACGTAAATATCTCTGAATCTAATGATTCAATTGGCGAGCTCTTTTTTCGCCTATAATGTCCAGAACAAGGGCTTTCCAACGAGCCTAAAATTATAAAAAACGGATCAGTGGATCTTGATATATTTGTGTTTAAACATGGTAATACAAATTCTGATATAAAATAATTATTTTTATTGTTTGAAAATATCTATTATAATACCATCTTTTATATGATATTTTTATTATATTTTTATAAACATTTATAGCTACTAAGACTATATAAATTTTTATTTTACTTTATATTTTATTAAAATATACTTACTTTTTAATAATATATGTTAAAAATTCCATATATATGAGAAATGGGTTTTTTATTAGTGAAATGGGTTTTTTTACAGCTTTTTTACATTTAATAATTTAAGTTTTGCAAATGTAAATTTTTGTTCAACTTATTATTTAATCAAGTGATCATCAATCAGATGATTTTTTGGTATTACAAAATAATTTTGAGTAACAAAAATTGTGAAGATCAATTTAATAACTCTTTTTAAACAAATCAGCCCATATGAATTTTCTTTTATATGTCAAAAATATTCTAAATGCTATAATTTGTTCAGATTTTATATTAACTTATTTTTTATTTTTTTTAGTAGTTTTGTCCCTTTCTACTGCAAAGCGTCCATATAAATAATAATTATTTTAGAAAATTGGAAAATGTAAGAAAAATTTGTAATGGTCTTTCTCATTAAATTCTTATTACTACTAATCATATCTAATCATATGAGTTATGTGACAAATTTATCATAAAATTTGATTAATATGAAGGTTTTTTAATATTCTTATCAACCATATTTAGACTATTGAAATATTATTATAAAATTCTCTAAGAACTGATATTATATGATATATAATGGTAAATGTATAAATCTTTAGAAATGTAAAAAAAATTTGGAATAATCTGTTTTATTGAATAATAATAAATATATGTTCTTATTACTACTAATTATATAAGTTATTATATGACAAATTTATCATTAAATTTAATCAATGTAAAATAATTTGAGTCAAGATTCATATATTTACATTTGAATGATAATATAATAGATCTGGTAAAATACTGGTAAATTGTTATATATTTAAATAGAATTGCAAAAATAGAAAGATTAAAACTTTTTTTTCTTTAAATCTGATTCTAAAGGAATTTTTTTAAAAAAAGGATTACAAGGTAATACTATAACTTTATTTGTAGAAAACATTATTACAAATCAAGTATACTTTAAAAATCCAATTTCAGTGGGTAAGAATACTAATTGTTATAATTCATTTAATTTATATGTAATTTACCTTGTATTATATAAAGTGTCAAAATAATTTGAAATATCAAAATTGAATTTGGGATTTTATTTATAATTATGGCAATCTAAAATAGTTTAGATAGCATGTTGATTTATATGATGATATTTGGAAGTGTAACTTCTGTCGAATCGAAGAAGAAATGTTTGACCATTTTTGGAAATGTATTAAGATCTAAGATATTGTGCATAATATAATTAAAAGATTCAAAATGTTTTTGGTAAATATAATAGGTGAATTTTCAAAAAAAGAGATAGATAAATAACAACTTGAGGATAAGATTGAGAAGTTAGATATGTGGGATATTGATTATTTTTATGATTTTACTTTTTTGATGAAAAACCAAGTTAGTCATCGATATCAGTTAGTTGACCTGTTAAAGTTTTACAAGATAACAGATGTAAAAGTGTTGTGAAGGGTATTAAAACAAATAATTAGAAAATTATTTTAGAGTTTATGATATTGATTTTGAAGTCGAATAGTAAAAAACATGATGATACAATGAATGTTAATATATTAGACTTCAGTGATGAGACTAAGTGGAATAAATAAAATGATTTAACATTCCATCAAGGAAGGCACTGGGCAAATTTTTAGGTAGATCTTGACAGTTACCTAGGGATTTAGGTTGTATCATTGTTTTTAATAATAATATAACTGTTTAGGTGACAGGTCAACTTGTTCTTAGGAGAAGTAGTCTTGTTTCATAATGCTTAATTCTTATATGTATTTTGTTTATCTTATTTTAAGTTTTATATATATAAGTAAGCGTAGTTATAATAAGACAAGATCACATCTAAATAAAAATAGGGGAAAAAAAAATAATAATAATTTGGATAGCATATATATTTGATAACATAAATTTAATTTGAATTAAACTACTTATTATAAAAAATATAATATTATTATATAATTAATATATATATAGATCTACTAATCAGATTTTAATAAATTTATATTATTAGATTATAAAAAAATCTAATAGTAGTAAAATCATATTTCTAATTATTTACTAAATTATTATAAAAAATATATTTGTTATTTGTGAATTAAATGAAAAATGTTTTTAACTTTTATATAAATAATAAATTTTAATAATGTCTTTCAATATAATATACAATTTTAACTGAAATTAATATATAATTTCTATATAAATTCTAATATATATTATATTAGAAATATTTGAAATTCTAATTCAATTTGAATTAGTATATAAATTTTAGTTAAATGATAAAAAATTATTTACATAATATATTTTCTTTTAGTTTTATTTTTATTGTATCTGCATTATATCAATATTATATTTTAAGCCTTTTAAGTAAAATTACATAATTCCAGGTAAAATTAAAACAAATTAAAATATATAACAATTAAAGTTGTTTACCTAAACTTCACCAAAATCTTACAATTAGTTTTTTAATAGTTTTATTATAATTTTAGTAAGGTTTTAGAAATTTCAGTATTTATAATAAGTTTTATTAAGTTTTACTTTTTTTTTAGAGTTTTGCCAATATTTTAATAAAACTTTCATATAGTTTTAGCAAAGTTTTGCTATTTTAGCATTTTATTAATTTGCTAAAATCTTCCAGTAATATTTTGATATAAGTAGAAAATTATAGGATAAAAAAGAAGAATTATTAATTAAAAAAAACAATATTTCAGAAGAAAAAAATATAATGGAATAATAAAAGAAGAAAGAATCTTAAGCTGACTTTACTAAAAATGGCCAATTTTTTGAAATATTTTTATAGACCTAAATACAATAGCTTACAAAACAATTGTGCAATTATTTTGTAAAATTTTTAAAATATATCAAGATATATTTGAGGTATTTTTGAGATTAAAATATTAAAATAATATCAAAGTTAATTAGAGGAGTTACATATATTACGTAATATTCAGTTTAATATAAATTTACTCCCCTCCTCTTGTCAGATTTAATAACCAATCAAATTATAATATTTATAAATTATAAATGTAATGTAAGATTTTGGTTACCCCTCTTTTCCTTTAATAATTACGTAATATCTGTAGGTTTGATACGAAATCCCGAAACTTGAAATTCCAAAGGTGACACTCTAAATCCCAAAATGTCAAAATCCTGAATTGCTATAATTCTGACATTTCATAAGCCCAACACTTCATAATCCTTGAAAAGAAAAATACTGAAAAGAAAAATCTTAAAATTTATTAATAAAATAAAGAAAATCAGTATTATAGGGATGTCGGAATTATAAAATTCAGGATTGTGACAATTCAGGATTTTGACAATTCAGGATTTTGACATTTTAGGATTTAGAGTGTCAGGATTTTGTACCTTCAGGATTTTGAGTTTCAGAATTTTAGACGAATCCCAATATCTGTAAGCTTCCTTATATTATAATAATAAAATAATAACAAAAACATTAAAAAATTATTGTGATATTGTTTTGAGTTATTTTTATAGACCTAAATACAATATAATTACAAAATAATAACAAAAATATAATAAAAACGGTTTGTTGTATTAAATGTATTTTTGTAGTATTTTAAAATTATTACAAATCATTTCAAAAAATTAGCCATTTTTAGTAAAGGATTATCAGTAGAAATGTTAATAAAACATTATTATAAAAATAAAAATTTCGTATATGAAGCTAATACATGAAAAGTAATTGATTATCTCAATAGTGCATGGTTAATCAGTTTAATAATAGGGTTATATAAATTATAAAAATAACATTTTAAGTAAAGAGAAAAAATTTTTTGAAATTTTTGATAAATAAAATAAAAGTTATAATTAGAGATCCTGGGCAAAACTGAAATATTTAGTCATTTGACTAAACCGAAATAGTTTAAACATTTAAAATTAAAAGACGAAATGCCAAAATTCAATATTCTATAGTATTTCCATAGATTTTTTGTAGATTTCCATGGATTTTTAATTATAATAATTACTTATAAAAAAAAAAAATAAT